ATTAAACATTTAAAATGCTTTAAAAGATAGTTAGCAGCTTCTTTTTTTTAAAAATCTTTTTAATTGGAATTTTTTTCAATATTATTATTAATAGGAATAAACCTCTTTTTGGTTTCAATTAATAAATAAGGATTTTTTTAATCTATTATTAAGTCGAAATTAATATGTAAAATTTTACTTCTTATTTAAGATAAATAAATAAAATAATTTTTAATAGCAAATTAAATGTTATGAGTTTAAAACTATTATCCTTTAAATTTTTAAATTTACTCTATTTAGCCAAATTTTCATTCATAAAAAATAGTAATAATTATAAATATAAAAAATGTTGTAAATAGAAAATTAAAATTAATTATATTAGAAATTTTAAAATTTATAATTATTGGTAAAGTAATTGAGATTTCAATATCAAAAATTAAGAAAATAATTGCAATTAATAAAAATTTAGAGAAAATGGTATTAGTGGTTTAATAAAATGGATCAAATCCACATTCAAATGGTTTTGATTTATTATGATTAAATTTTATTTTTATGTTAATTAAAATTATAATTATAAATAAAATTATTAAGATAAAAAATAGGATTAATATTGAAATTAAATTAAATTAAATATAATAATTTTATTTAAAATAAGACCTCTTTATGATTCATTTCTTAAACACTGTAAAACGTTACCCAAGAGCACAAACCTCTTGATGATAAAATGATAAAATTTAAAGGAAAACTGGGAATAAAACAATACATGAAGAGCAAACCTTGCCCTTGGGGTATAAAAAACTTTTTATTATGTTCTTCGAAAGGAATGATCTATGCCATGGTATGCTTTTATACCAAGGAAAATCAACTGAAATTGACCCAAATTTTCTTAAAAAGTATGGTTTAGGCACATCTGTAGTGCTAAAATTAGTTGAAAGCCTTAAAAAAAAATAAACATTTTTTATTTTTTGATAATTTCTTTAGTTCATGTAATTTATTTAACTCACTTGACTATTTAGGAATAAAATCAGCAGGTATAATATGGTAATACCTAATAATAGCTAATAATACGGTTAAATCGCTTTCCTAAAGTCCCAATTATAGGTGATAAAGACCTAACTAAATTAGGAAGAGGTTCTTCATATGAGGTTAGTTCTAAAGACAATAAAATTGGTATAATCAAATGGTGTGACAATAAAATTGTTTACCTTGGTTCTAATTATGTTACGTCAGGAACACCAGACATAGTTAAACGTTTTGATAAAAAAGAAAAAAGATATATTGAAATGAGTAGACCTGAAATAGTTAGACATAACAACTCCATGGGAGATGTAGACCTTCATCATCAACTTATAAGTTACCTATTACAGAGTTTTTATTAAATCCAAAAAATGGACATTGAGATTACTTTTTCATGCTTTTGATATGGCAACTACTAATTCATGGCTACAATACATAATTGATTGTGAAGCTTTAAAATTACCAAAAAAAAATACCTTAGATCTTTTGTCATTCAAACATATATTAGCTGAATCACTTATAAAATTAGGTAATTCAGTATTGACTCCGACAAGGAAACGTGGATGTCCTTCATCATCCTCAAAACTTGATGTTGCCAAGCTTCCAACAAAGCATCGTAAAGTAGATTCAAAAAATCCCCCATTACAAATTATAAAAGACAGAATTGATCACTTTGCTTTTATTGGTAATTTAGGAGATGGAACATTATGTAAACATGTGGGGTGTACAATGAGAACACATATTATGTGTRAAAAATGTAAAGTTCATTTATGTTTGACCAAAGATAGGAATTGTTTTTATAATTTTCACAGTTAGCTATCAACTAAATCTAGTAACCAAAAAAATATTTTATTATTTGTACAGTTTTATACTTAGGGAAGGTTCCACGCACTATATATTGTGTTCATTTGTTATATTTATTTAAAAAAAAATTGTTTTGTAATTTTATACTTAAAGATTTAATTATGTTAATTATAAATAGTTAAGGTACTAACAAAGTATTTTATTATGTAAGACTATGTAATTGAAAAGACTCATTATTAATCCAAAAATCTCAAATTATGTATGTGATATTATGATAAATTAGTTAAAAAAGTTGTTTTTATATTTGTTACAATATTATTATTTTTTTTACAATTAGTCATGTTGTAAAAAAAATTATGTAACTTACAATACTTATGTAGTAAATAAAGTTTTTATTTTACTTTCTATATTGTCTATTTTATTTTATTAACAATCAAGACTAGACATTTATAAAAAATATATATAACTAAAATAAAGAATTGAACAGACTTTAATTATAATGTTTAGTATTTCTAATTAACGCCCAATTGCAATTACAATAGCATGATTCAATAACTCATGACTTGGTGATCAAAAAATTTTGAAAAAAAAATACTTCTTAGTTAGGCATAATATAAAACTAATTAGAAAGCAAATATATATATTTTTTTTTTTATTAGAACTTAATTTGGGATTGAAAGGGTTAAGCATTTAACTCTTATAATGTGCATAATATATATTCATGTATGTATTTCTCACAATTAAAGAAAATTGTCTGTTTGAGCATAATAATTACAAATTATGTTCTTCATGAATGTTGTTATGTGTCAATGAAAGAAATGCTCAACTTTTGACTTTTTAACTTTGTTTAATTTGTTATATTCTATTTGACTATGATACCTAGTAACTTTAATGTTTAAGTTATTATTAGGTAATTAAATAAAATTGTATTGAAATGTATGAAGTGTGATCTATTTCAWTTTTTTTCTAAAAATTTGTTTTAAATTATAAATTAAATAATAACAGAACTAAATAAAAACATTTTTTAGATTAAGATTAGTACAGTAGGTAACCATTATTATTTTTATATTCATAATATATATTATTTTCTCTTTTTGCCTTAATAGGTAACTATTAAAATTATTAAAATTAATTATCATATTAAATTCAATGTATTGTTTTATAAATAAATTTTATCATTTGTATCAAAAATTTGAAAATGGCGGGGAAAATGGTAATACATATTAAGTGCATGGCATTATGAAAGTTGAATCCTGGACAAAAAGTAAGAACACATTTTTAGTGTTGGACAAAAAGTCCGAAAATACAAAATTGTCTATTCAATTTTAATTTATAATTATAATGTACCTTATATTTTATAATATTATTATGTAGGTATATATACACATGTAATATTATTTATGTATATAGTCAGTTCATATATAGTTATTGTATTGTCAAAGGTAATGCGTAGATCAAATTATTAATTTATATCTGTAAATATATCGTAGTCAACTTTTTTTTTAAAAATATTATTATTTTATTATTATTACTGTAGACTAGATTTTTTAAAACGTATAACTTTTTTTTAAATATTATTATTATTATTATATTTGGATCAATGTTTGTATTGACAATTTTTTAAAACATATAACTCATTTTAAATTATTATTTTCATTATAATTATTAACAATATTTATAATTCTTTTGTAGGCTAAGCATTTTTCGGACCACCCTCGTATGTTATCTTAAAAATCATAATCCAGTGGATTTCTGTTGTATTAATGTTAGGAATAAGAAATAATAATTATAAGAAAATATAAAAATATATATATGTATATATAAAATATTATAATTACACAATTATGATAAATTAGATAATTTTGTATTTTCGGACTTTTTGTCCAGCAATAAAAAAATTAATCCGGACATTTTGTCCAACTATTTCCAKGCTGGACTTTTTGAACGATTACCATGAAAGTTTGTCATATGATCCTTGATAAGATAAAGTTATTAAAATATTACTTAGGTATTCAATTTTATTCGTATTTCATATTTTTTATTTTCAATTTTCATTTTATAATATTATTCTTACGATAAATTACGCGTTTTACACTTTTATATGATGTATGGAAATGGAATGGTCGTAAGCTGCCCATTTACATATTATAAATAATATGCTGCCCGGAGTCTTTCTGAGGAACGGTTTTAAGAGTCCGAAAATATGTAGCCGCTAAAATACAGTCTGTTGAAATAATGTCGGCTAAAATATGGTCGTACCTATTAAAAYAGAAATATGACCAAAAAACATTTCGGATTTCTGATGAACTGGCCCTTTCAAGTTGTTACTTTCTTTAAAGTATATCACCTGCTGCCGATTGCGAGGTGTTCGTTTACCGTCCGCCACAAATCGATACGGTTATGCGATGGAATATTAGAAATTAATATTTCCAGAACAACAGCGTTTATAATATTGTAATCGCCTTTATTGCAAAGAATTCCAATTCTCCCACACCACCAAAACAATAAAATCTATACATCGTGGTTCAAAAAWTTTTATYGACATAATATTTTTGATCGTCGCGTCAGGGCCGGCTCTAGCTTTTTCAGCGCCTAGTGCAAGTATTATTTCGGTGCCTTTCGCCCTGTTTTTAAATATATAAATAGGCAACCGCACGCCYCCTTGATTTTGGCGCCTCTGTGCCGTCGCACACGTCGATCGTATCTAAAGCCGGCCCTGATCGTCGTCGTAAATTCGTAATACAAATATTACCGTTGTTATTAATTTCCTCATCATAGCTCTTCTGGCCGCACGTCTAAACTCTAAACAGTCGTTTTGTATATTTTAAATTTTTAATATCGTTTTTTGGTATAACCTTACGTTAGTCATTTTGGTATTACGTTCTATYTCGCATCAAGGGTGTCAAAAAAAAGTTCAATATGTATCAGCAGTTATATAATAGTAGTTCACCGACTCGCATCGGGACGATAGGGATCAATATGGATCGATACGTATCGCTGGTACACCGCACATATCGTATTCATCCGATACGTATCGATGCACTCAGACTTCTTTCTTGAAAATCTGTATTCAATTACCGCTTTTTTGTACGTCATCGTAATTTTTCCAATCGTTTCTATAAATCTATACACATCACACAACCAAGTACCAACTACACCAGATCATCAAATTATTAATGATAATAATTATAATGCATCATCATAGATATTAAATATTTAATGTCTATGCCAATATTTTGCACTCGCACCAAATTCCTAACCTTTTTTCACAAAATAATTTATTCATTGAAATATACTAATATGTGGTCGTACTGCCTTGAGGTTAGTTCGAGTTAACAGCGAATGCAGAATGCACCATCAGATAACCTTATTTTATTTTTCATCGATTCACAAGGGCAGACTGCCTGTTTAACCATTGGGTTTTATTATTTATGTTGCATTATTTACAATTTACCTTACCACGACGACCGTGATAAACGGTAATATTTTTTTTTTTTTTACTGCCGCTTTTACCGCTTAAATTACATACCTACGCACACATCCAACACTTGAGTTAGTGGTGTCTTCGATTGTATATCAATTTTTTGTACAACAAAATACGTCATTTTATTTTTGAAATCCAAACATTCCAAACAATAACCGCGGTTTATGATTAAACAGTCGAGTAGTTGTGCTCGATCCAAACTGATACGTTAATATGTTGTTCTTATCAAGTAGACAATTACCATGTGTTCGCATTTGACTTGTAGTTTGTACTCGGGATTAGACAGTGATCGGTAGCGAACATTTTTAATATTTGCTTGTATAGTCGGTATTGGCTCTTTGTATAATGCATTTAAGATTATTTTAGTTCATTCAAGCAATTCAATACTTTTTATTTTTAACAATAAATTGAATATTTGGTGATAGGTATTAAATTGGCAATACCTCGAAAATGTCAGAAAAGGAAGGAAAATCTATCGGTGAGTTTGACTTATGGTTACTCTATATTATTATGACTATAGTGAAAATTAGATACCTACTGGTTTGTTATATCACCGTCCAGTCGTCTAAAAACATAGTCGCAACACTCAGGTGTCAGGTTTGTTATTCCACCACCATACACTATAATAATTAATAAATATATTGTAAAAATTGTACCAAACAAATTTTTATGTTAATAACAAATAATTTACCTATAAGCAGTCCTGTCGTTTGATATTTTCCGCCCTACCACAAAAATTTTAATGCCACTTTTGTTTATTAAAATGTATTTAATTTAGTTGCCTTAGATTTCTTTAAAATTGTATGCCATCATTAAAAAACCACATGATTTGTTTGTGACCTGGCGACAGACCTGCTTGTAAATCATGATTATTAATTTTGTTATGTGTGTAATTAAAAAACCTATGCAGAGTGATACATTTAAGCAAGTACACTAATTATTTCCAAAAGTATTATCTTTTTAAATCCTTATTTTAAATGTTCACTTTTCTAAAACACTATAATATTTAAATGAAATGTTCACTCTTATATTAATTGGTTTAACTACTATCAAATTTTAACTTTCAAATGGTTAGATTAATTTCAAAAAGGCCATACCTAAATTAGTATAACTAATTTTTTTTTTTATAAATGTTTACATTAAAATTTACCTAAAATTTTAAATTTATTGTTATGTAATTTGCAAGATACAGTGTTTTTTTATAAKCATCTGATTCTACTGTAACTTGTATTATAATTCATATAGCTAAGTCCTCGGCTAAGTCTTTTTTTATGATTTATTCACATACCTAAAAGTTTTTATTTTTTTATTACACTAAAATTGTTAACTTTGATTTTGAGAACTGTAGCTAATTAATAATCATAATTTTAAATAAATAGTACCTAACCCAACCTTTATGTTTACATTTAGCCAATTGAATTTTCTAAATGTATACATATTATACAAGTTTTTTCTATTTACCTATCTTATTTAATTAAAATGAACTTAATTCAAAATTGCAAACCCTATATATTTTCCCCTTTAAATTAACAATGTTATTAATCACTTGAATAGTTTAAAATTATTGCTTATGAATAGCTAAATATTTTGAATGAAAAATCATTTCTGATGTATTTTAAGATAATTTTAATGATATAATTACTCATATAAGTATGAATATTGTTAAATACAATAGAGTAATATGTAAGGATTATCAAAAAATTAACAGTTTATTGCCATAGGAATTTGTACTATGTTTGGGCTATCAAACTTTGAATAACATTATATGGTGTATCTGAAAATAAAATTAAAAATAAAATAATAAAATATATAAATAAAAACTGATAATATATAATATATAATATATAAGATGCATAATTATAATCTTAATAATTCATTTTTCTTCTAAATTTTAAGAAAACTTACCAATAAACTTAATATGCAAATCTTAAATACTTTTTAAGTGAAAGGTAATTTTAAGAAAACATGCATCTAAAAGTCTAAAAATTAAAGTTGAGAAAAGTTTATACTCTTTTAAAAAATTATTAGTGTCCTCACTTAAATAGATCACTTTGTATAAGTCTATAAGCAGAGTAGCAAAATGACGAAATCTCAATCTGCTAAAGTTAAAATAGTAACTATTTTAAAACTGTTGTAATTTAATTAATTTATAATATATCCTATTATTATCTATTATATTTTGATATTTAAATATTATGATGATGATTTACAGTTACACAATTTTTAATTATTGTAGTATGTGATATTTTACTTCATTTTTTTTTTTTTTTTGATATCTTATTTTTATAAATTTTTGTTTAATTATGAAATTACTTTTAAACAAAATCTGACATATTATAATATTATTTGTTAGTTTGACTACTGTTGCATTAAGCTTATTTTTTTATACTTTAAAGTTAAAACAATTACTGCAATAAATTGTTATTCTAAAATTTACCATTTCACATTTTAAAAGCCAGAACTCCATTAATCATTTCCGGTTTGATTTAATTAATTAAGATATCCTAAAATTCACTAAGAACAATCAATAAATTCTAGGTTTTTCAAGTTAAACTTAAGTGTTCCCAGTATTTATAATTTTACTTTGCCTAACACATATCGTCGCTTAAGAACCATCATGGCCAATCTCAGTTTTCTCAACTTTTCAGGGTGAACAAAAATCTGTTTTGTTGTTAGGAATTTTGAATGTTAGAATACCTTTTGACATAAATTAACTCTAAAACGTGTATTTCATCTGAATAATTATATTTACCAACAATTTATTTTTGCTAAAATTTCGTGGGATTGGCCTTAATATTGTAATATTTATACTTTAGATAGGCCATGATAAGGATAAAATAAAATAAAAATAATTTCCTAAAACACAGAATATTATAATATTATTATGGTTTTATTTTAAAATTTTAAAATGAATGAATAATAGGTAAAATAACAAAATAACTTTTAAGGCTCTCACTCTCTGTGTAAGATATGTACTATAATTTGTTTTCTTAAAATTAAATATCTTATGTTTAAACTTAAATTGAACTGATTTAAATAAAACTTGGTATCATAGTATCAGCTTTTTTTCAATTTTCCAATTATTGCCCCATTTTTGTAGCTTTGTTAGCTTTTTCTTTATCTGCCTTCTGATTTTGCCTGTAGAAGATATCTGCATGAGGAAGAAGGTCATAGTAACCGTGACAGTCATATGGAAGGACTGGTTTTATATCTTGCAAATCTTTCCATTTGTCTTTAGGTATTTTTACTGAGCCACTGTTGAGAGGTGGGGACATGATTTTTCCTGTTCTAATGTTAGTCTTGGGTCTAATAGGAAGAAGTTGAAGTTGTGTAAAAAAATCTAGAGCATACTTTATTTGGCCAGAGAAATTGTACTGCAACCATCTCAAATCAGTAACTACTGGGTCACCACTTTTCTTCCCCGGACAGATGCTGTCATAAATCATGATGTCGGACTTCGAAAAATCTGTGAAGAATTGCCAATCGACAAATTTCACTCTGTACAGAAATGGATTCTTTCGAGCATTTTTTGTCTTTATAATAAATTGGGATAACAAATAAATATCTCTATTTCTCATTGCTCTTTCTAGGACACTGTGGGCACTGTCTGCCTCCATTTGTGTATGCCCTTTTTCTAAGTATTTTTGATTAATTGTAACATTTTTTTAAATGCTCAAATCCAAAAGGGCATTGGACAAAATAGAGTTTCTATTTTGATAAGTGCAGCCATCTGAAAAAATGTTAACAATAGATCTTTGCCCGGATTTATCCAGCAGCTCCTCTACTGCATCTACAAGACATGACACAAACGAAGATGCTACTAGATCTGTTTGAGATTTGTCAAACCAGTAACAAATTACATTGTGAGTTTCTAAGTTGTATACCGTGAAATTATGTACTGCCAATTTCATTTTATAATACAATGAGCTGGCTGGAAGCTGAGGTACCAATTTAACTGCCATAAGTTCACAACATAAAGTATAGCATTGTTTTTTCATAGCCAATTTTTTTGTCTGCCTCTTTTTGTGCTCTGGCTTCGTCCTTTCTTTTCCTGTGAGCATTAAAACTGTTATCAGATAGATTACCAGCTTTGTGTTGACAACAGAGATCACATTGGTCTTTCGAGGACTAAAGATGGCAATTTTTTCAGTTCTACACATTCTATCAAATAAAAACCTACTAAGTGGCTGTACAGATGCATTATTTGAATACTCAATGTATAACTTATATAATTGAGCATGTAATTTAATATCTAATTGTACATAAAGCTTTGAAGAACTTTAGCGACAATAATGGGATGGAAGCTTTGGAATCTCATCTAAGAACACTTTCATAGTTTCTCGTCGAAGGGGTTGACGGGGGAGAGTTCAGTTTGAAGATTGACATGTTGCTGTTGATTATTCTGCACAAGTGGTGTATGTTCCTCAAGATTACTGCTTGTTTCTTCAGAAAAAATAGACCTTCTTCTTCATCAGATACAGCTCCCAAAGAAGAGTAACTAGCTATCCAGCGTTTGATTGTTGACCATAAATAGTCCATTGCATTTTTATACCTTTTACAGACTGCTACTCGATTATCTCCAATTTTTAAATTATATAGATATACGTTTTTCCTCGACGTGATGGTTTACCCTTGGTTGTTTTTTGCTAGGTCTCTTTTACCTCAATCATTGCACATACAAACATTTTTTTCTCAGGCCAGGTCATTTCTTTCCAAAAACTATCGAAGAGAGCTGCTCTCTGTTGTTCACTATTTGGTCACAGTTTTTGGTTTTCTGTTTAGAATAAAGTTTGCTTTGACATGTGGGGCCCAACTTCCTCTTTTGTTTAGAAGTATCTTGTACCATTTTGGTTTTTTGCTTATTTTCTCTTCGATATCCTGTATACATTTCACCCATCAGCCTTCTACGTTTGCTTTCATTTTTATTCCACAATTTTGGATCAGTAACAGTTTTCGGTTATCTCTTTTTGCGGGCATTAGCATAGTTCTCTTGCTCATCACTTGACAAGGGGATTAATTCTTTATTTGGTGAATCTAAACCAGTACTGACTTGAGAAACAGCAGTTGGAAAATGAGGTACTGAGATTTGAGATGATTTACTAATAACTAATACTGAAGAAGAAATATTTTGTTCGGGCTGAATAACGGATCCATTATCAATAACAAATTCTATAGCATCCAAATCCAAAATATCAAAACCCTTAAAACAATATTATAAAAGAAAAATTTAATGAAAATAAAGGTTAAATATTTTYTTTATCCTATACCTTACCAAAATGTAGGTTTTAGAAAGCAAAATATAGAAAATTCATGACAAATGAAAAAAAAAATTTTTAATTATTACCTCACATCAGAGGCGGTTAGAGTATACTGTTTTTGGTGCACTGCACCGCCAATGTTAGGGGGGTGGGTGGTCTTGGTTAAGCATGTCCTGACCGCAATGTTTAATTTTAATGTTCAATAAATGAAAAAAGTAATAAAGTACCTAATCAATGACATATGATAAATGACAATCGTGGCTGAAACTGTTGAAAGTGTCGAGTTAAGAATATAAGGGCCTTATAACTATTTATAACTATAAACTATAAAGTATAAACTTATTAAAAAATATTTATTTGTAATTTATATTATGATGGTGGTGGTGAGGGGGGGTGTCTATATATTGTCTTGCACCACTAAGTAAAATACATACAAACCGCCTCTGCCTCACATTATGATGTAATGATATTGTTATTATTACCTATTATTACCTAATGAGTTTATAGTCATAGTAGTTTTATTTAGTATATTTTATTTCTATAAATTTATTTTATATTGATCTTATTCAAATTTCAAATCAAAATATTATTGTACTGTAATAAATTAATAATATAAGAAAGAAAATGTGTTTAAATTGTCATCAATTTTCAATATCTTTGAATTCAAAAACTAGACACATTAAATATTTAAGACAAGATTATTAAAATTCATCCTGTGTTATAAAATAAAATRAAAAACTTTTAAGTATAAACACTAGTTAACATACAATATCAAAATGAAAATTACATTTTGTACGGTATTAAAGTTTGAAATGAACTGTTCAGTTGCATCGATTACTTAAGTTTCAATACCACTTAAAAGGACGCTACACCTTCATGTGTTGTCTCCGTCTTACAAGCACGTAACATTGCAAAAACTGTTTCGTGCGGGAAAGAACCGAGAATGCTACAGTCATAACTAAGAAACAAAATTCTCACCACAGATAAAAGGGAATTTCGACTGTGCAACGTTGTTTTTATTTTTTTGATATTAGAACTGAAAAAAAAGTTATTCGATTTTGAAAAACGCAAAAATAATGAATTTTGAAACATTAAGAACTTTTTTTCTATTTGTGATRTCGAAAAATTGAAAACAACGTTGCATACTAAATGTTCTCCTTATTATGTGGTGAAAATTTCGTTTCTTAGTTATAATTGTAGCCTTCTCGGTTCTTTCCCGCGCGAAACAGTTTTTGCAATGTTACGCACTTGTAAGMCGGAGACAACACATGCGGGTGTAGCGTCCTCTTAATTCATTTTATAATAAAATTAAAATTAAAAATGTTAAGATTTTATACTTATTTACACCAATTGTTTAATTGAAGCTTACATTTTGTGTGGTGTTATCTTTTAAAGTATTTTCTATTCCAGTATAATATCTTAAATCATTGGACAGCAGCCAACTTTCTACCTTATCCTAATTATTGAATCAAATATTTTATTATTTTTAATTTATTATAATAAAATTAACCATTCAAATCATAGATACATCAATACAATATTCAATCTATAATATTATTTTATACCTATAGTTTTTACTTTTTTAGAATTAGGTTTATCTGCTTTTTTTATTTCAGCAAATAGCTGTTTTGGAACTAACCCCCATAGTTAAAACAAATGCATAAGTATTTCATAAGCTTCGTGAAGTCTACATTAATATTTAAAATACAAATGTTGTGTTATCTTACTTACTGGTGGAACTGAACTAAGAATTTTATTTGTTCAGGACCTCCTCCTTTTTTTGCGAAGTAATCAAAAAATGTTTTAATTAATAACTTAATTATTTACTAAACTTGATATTTAAAATTTAATAAAACATAACTATTAACTAAACAACATTAAAATAATTCATTAACACAGCATTGATAACATGTTGGAGGGATATTTTCATATTCTTATTGTCAATAGTAATAAAAACAATAAAAATAATTTCATTGAGTTGTTGACCAGCTGAATTTTTGAGATTGGCCATGATGGTTCTTAGGCGACTATATTATATACCTATTATATGAAATAAAAAAAAATGTTGAATCATTTTACATTTTGTTATACCTTATCTGAAACCCAAATTATAAGTATTGTAAGAAGTCTTACATTTCTTTAAATTATAATATAGTAAACAATTTCTTTGCAAATTTAATTTATCATTATTTTTATTAGTTTTAGTTATTTATTTTAAGGTTAAATAATACTCAATTGCATTAATGTATTTAAAACCAAGCYATATTAATTGTGTATTTATAACTTTTATGTTTCCTACATAACTAATATGATTAACATAAAATTATAATTTAAATATTTTTAATGCTGTCGCCAAATTTGTACATCATATAATTTTAATCCTGGCTTATAAATCTATAATGGGTGATTCATTAAATAAAATAGATTATCTTATGTTAAATGAAACTCCTGTGGTGGATTTCATTAAAAAAATGTAAAATGAATTAATTTAATGGTTAAATAATATTTTATGGAACACTAAATCATGTTTTAGAGACCATTATCTTACTATTGATTCGTTAAATATTTAATGATTGTTAATGCAACTCAGCACTAGTATTATTTACTGGGATTTTTCAAGTTATAGCATGATACTATTTACACTTTATTACATAAATATTACTGTACTACCAATCTAAATTGTTTTAACATGATATTTTTATAATATTATTATAAAAACAATTTATTTTACCATGGGTAGTGTCGTCTGTCTGAATGTCATTTATCCTATAATAATATACTTTTTAAATTATGTCTTAAAAACGCCATATAATTATTAAAAACATTTTTATCTAACTATATTAATCAAAAACCATTTTACACCATACTAAGCAGACATAAAAACCCAAATTTTTACATAAAATATCTAAATATGTTCTAATTTCAGTTTTGTTTTTTAAATTCAAACACATGACCTTCGAATAAGCTACTGGCAACCATTTAATATTATTAACTTAAACATTATTTATTAGTGTTAGATGGTGGATTATCTGAAAATACTATGACTACCAAGGAGAGTCTCATAAAGTTGGAGCATTCAACCTCTGATACTGAAACTATAACAGATATACAAAATTACTTGGATTTATTTAATAAAGAAATAGAAGCAAATGATGTACCACAAGTACAAACTAGTAAGTATTTTTGCTTAAGAGTTAATTTTATATTTTAATAAAAATAGCAAACTTAGATGTGAACTCTGAATCGGCATATTCAATGAATCAAAATGTCCAATATTATTATCAAACAACTACAAGAGATGGCCAGATGATTATGATTGGAGGTAAGTTAAAATTAAGGTTATCATCTAAAAAAAGAACTTTATTTAAAATATTAGGACTTTCAGAATATGATTTACAAATGATGGCTAACATAAATCAAAACCATATAAGCAACTCAACTCAAATTGCACTGCCTAATCCACAAGATAAAATTAATGATATCCCTCAAGTAAATTAAATGTATGAATTATGAATAATACAGATAGTAAATGTTTGGGATGTTAGATTGTTGGTTTAGGAGATGGTGCTGAGTATCAAAGTGTGTCTCTTGTTCAAGATGAAGGTGACCCCAGCAATTATGTTGTTTATGTGGTCAAACAAAATGACAAAAATGAGGAAACATCAAATGTTAGTATGGAGATTTCTCAAGGAACCTATGATCCCGATGTTAGGAATATATATAATTTCAATGTTAAAGAAGATCCAACTCTACCAAAAAAACAAGAAGTAGAAGTAATCTTATACAGCAACAAAAACTTTACCATATTTATTTATATATTATTGTTATTAATATTACTAATATAACATACCTACATTTAGGATTTTGGTGAAAAAAATAACAAAACTCAAATACCTAAAAAGTTGAAGAATGTAACTCAAACGCATATGTGTAATCATTGTAAATACTCTACTAGTAAAAGGTAATTATATTTCTTTCTATTGATTCTTAACACGAGTTTTATATGTCTTTCAGCCAGCTTATTATCATTATCATTATAACTTTTTTTATGCATTCATTAATTATGTATTATAATAATAATAATTATTTTTCATGAAATTTAAATTTAAATTTCTCTTCTAGGTATTTGTTGTCTCGTCATATGAAATCTCATTCTAAAGAACGTCCACATAAGTGTGATGTTTGTGAACGTGGTTTTAAAACTCTAACTTCTTTAACTAATCATGTTAATACTCATACTGGAACAAAACCACATAATTGTCGAAGTTGTTCAAGTTCTTTTACTACATCGGGTATGCAATTATATTAGTTCTGAGTCCAAGTATTAATTACCGTGTTGTGTTTAGAACATTTTTTTTCTTATAAAATGTTTATATTTATCTATTTTACAGGAGAACTTGTTAGACATGTTCGGTATAAGCATACTCATGAAAAACCACATAAGTGTTCAGTATGTGATTATGCTAGTGTAGAAATGAGTAAATTAAGAAATCATATGAGGTGTCATACTGGTGAAAGACCATACCAAGTATTTGATATTTAACATTATTTTCCCTTATAACTAGATGTTAATATTTATAACCTTTTAGTGTCCCCATTGTACTTATGCAAGTCCAGATACATTTAAATTGAAACGCCATTTGCGTATACACACTGGTGAGAAACCATATGAGTGTGATATTTGCTTTGCTAGATTTACTCAATCCAACAGTTTAAAAACACACAGACAAATACATAGTGGTAAATTTTTTTATAAATTATAAATTATAAATATTTTAGAACATAAAAAATATTTGTATTTCTAACTTATAGGCGATAAGCCTGTATTTAAATGTGACCATTGTCCAGCCACTTGTGGTCGTAAAACTGATTTACGTATTCATGTACAAAAGCTTCATACCTCTGACAATCCTATTAAGTGCAAACGATGTGGTGATACATTCCCTGATCGTTATCAGTTCAAGGTATTGACGTACACATTTTCCATTAACACATTATCTAATATATATATATATACTATAGGTTCACTCTCTTTCACACAAAGGAGAAAAATGTTTCAAGTGTGAATTGTGTTCGTACGCTTCTATGACTCAACGTCATCTTGAAAGTCATATGTTAATACATACAAATGAAAAACCATTTCAATGTGATCATTGTGATCTGGTAAATTATTTTAAAATTTAAATAATAAAATTATATAATGCTGAAACTATACTTATTTTATTGTTTTTTCTAGTCATTCAGACAAAAACAATTACTACGCCGCCATCATAATTTGCATCATAATCCAACATATGTACCACCTCCACCCCATGATAAAAAGTTTCTCTGTAAGACATGCATAAAATCATTTAGACATAAAGGAAATTTAGTAAGACATATGGAAAATCATATGCGAAAATCAACTGAAAAGGATAGAAATACTATATTTAAACAAAAACTTGAGGTATTATTTTTTTAAATTTATTATCTAACTTTCTACATTAAAGCTTTTTAATATACCATTTGATCCTGAATAAGAATAAATTATAAAATTATTTGCTTAAAAATAAAGAATGGCTTATCAATTAGTATTAATAAATTAATTTTATTTGAAATTCGATTAAGAGAAGACATTTTATAAAAATTGTTTGATATTGATTCCCTAAGAATTTTGGTATGAAAAATGTATTTGTGTTCGTTCTGATGATTTTCAAATAATATAATTTTTACTTAATAGATTAATATTTTTTGTCAATTGTTGCTTTTGATCTATTGATCACCAATTAAAATTTCTATATAGTACTTTATTCTGTTGAAATTAATTGATATAATATATTATGTTTGAACATTGGTTATCAAATTTATTATATAAACAATATAATATATGCTTTAATTTCATGTGTTAGACTTTATAAAACCAGTACCTATGCCAAGTCATTATGCAATGGGTTTTAAATTTAGATATTGGGCTTGAAAATATAATACTTTAAATATCTAAATTGTGTACCTTAATATAACATGAAATAATGACAGTGGTTTCTGGCTTACAAGTTACAAATATTTGATATTTTATGTAAGTGATAGTGAGTGATTAGGAGTGAGGTAATATTTATTAATTTAATGAAGTATAAGTTATCTACTACAATATTGTGGAAAGTAAACATAGTTAGTGGTTGGTATCTCTGGAAACTTGGACAATTCGTTATTATGTATTTAATGTTTTGTTCATCACTGTATTTGTGCTGGAGATTTAGATTGACCAGTCAAGATAGTATCCTGTTTTCAAGAATTCCATTGACCCAATCTTGAGTTTTTTTGTTTTGCAAGGAGGACTTTCATCTTTCTATTTGCATTTAATCCTTAGAACTTATGATGGCTTTTCTTACTTAAAGAAAGTTCTACCTAGTTTTAAGTTGGAAGTTTGGTAAATTTAGTCCAAGTGCTATATATTAGTTTCAATTTTATACCTTTCTATGTTGTGAAGTGTTCTTAAAGCAGCATGTTATCAGTCAAATTGATCTGTTCAATCTATCTGGTTTGCATTAAATATATCTGTTACTTACATTTGGCAAACTTGTCATCAGAGAAAAAAACCAAGTGGTAAATATACTCATTACTCATACAGTGTGGAATTAAATTATATTTTAACTTATAAGAAAAATACGTACTGAATTAATTATTATTGTAATCAATTTTTCAATTGGTTTTTACCTGTCATGAATACATAAACGCTTGGTCTAGTAATTTTTTTTACAATTTTTACATTTCATATAAATATATAAATAGATTACATGATCTCCCTAGTACCCACTTGTGATATGCATTGACAAAGACCTTAAAATCTTTCCAATAAACAAATACAGAGATTAAAAAAAAAAAAAAATAATTTACTAAGATTCTCAGTTGAATATATTAGATTTTTGGTCATTATTATTATAAAAAATAAAATTTTTGGATAATTGTGGTATTATTACGTAGTTGGATCACTATAGTCACAATAAACACAAAAAAAATCCTAATATTTATCCTATAATTATTAAACAAAAGTAGTTAGAATTACAATTCATACTAGTTTAATGTGTGCAAGGTACAAAATTATAATGTGTGAATATTGTGTTACTGGTGAAAACCGAATTGAATGTTGTAGTATAAATCTCGACATATTTTAGAATTAATTATTGATTCAATATTTTTAAAACTGAATAAAATAATTGTTGATGATAATTTACTGCAGTATACAGATTCAACTAATGAGGATGAATCTGAGGAGGACACTAGTATTCAACCAAGTGGCACCGAATTTATATCAATAGAAGGTAGGGATGGACAACAATATGTTCTACTAAAAATGGTTGAACTTGGTGGTCAAAATCAGAGAGATAACACTTCTACAAGCTTATCAACAAAACAAGTTGATCAATCTTCTTGTAAGTACAAATTTAATTAATTTTATTTAAATATAATTTTTAAATGAAATTATTTATTTTACAGCACCAAATCAAAAAGACCTTTCAATTTTAGAACCAATGTCTGTAGCAGACGTGAAAGAAGAATGTGAAGATGACGTTGAAAATTTTTTCGGTTTTTGATGTCGAAGATGATGTAAAAACATCAAACTCAGGTGGTTAAAAGTATCTATAATTTAAGTGTGAATTTTTTTCCATTTTCTTATATATTATTTGTATACCGAGTTTTATGTTTTTAGCATTTATGTCATAATTGATGTATAGTGTAATATATTGAACAAACTATTCTGCTGCTCTGTTAATGTCCTAAGTTGATGTTATTTAGATTAATCATATTTGAACCATAAAGTATCCAATTTTAAATCCAAATACATAATATACTATTAAAGCTTTTGGTTTATATACTCTATTTTTATTTAAATTTTGTATTTTGCAAAACGATTATATTAAATATTTAAACTAAATCATTCATGACAAATCAGTATGTTGCTATTTATGTATAGTATTATGTTTCCATGACAAAGTATCCCGGTCAAAATATCACTAAACCTAAATATCCCTGCATTAATATTCCATGACAAAATATAATATAATAATTGTTGCGATTAGAAGTAATAATCATACTTCATCTAATATAGTATTATTCGTTATTTTCATAATGTTATATTATTATTTTATTATCTTTGGTTATTATAGTGTTTCATTTTATATCATTACTAACAGTGCGGTGTCGTTTACAGTCTTAAGTCAAATTTCTTAACACTTTTTATTTAATTAAAAAATGCTAGAATTTATCAAGAGCCAAAAAGGCAATAATTTACTAATATTTGAAAGATATTTATTCAGTACACACCGAAAGAGTGAAGAAAAAATAATTTGGAGTTGCACAGAGTACAAAAGTAAACATTGTTTGACAAAATGTTACACAACTTAAGACCACAGACAACGAATCAGGTTTATTGATTTATGATTAAATTTTATGACGTGTATATAATAATATATGTAATAAATATATAAGAATAAAATATAAGAACTGTCGATACCATTGATCTTATAATATATGCATAATATGTTACCTCAAAAAAAAAAAAAAAGGCCAAAGTATAAAAATTTGGATGAGCGGTTAATTGCTGTTGTAAGAGGATATGACGAAAGTAATAACAATAAATATTTAAAATCAATAGCACATAACTTAGTATTATAATAAGTATAATAATTTTTAACAAAAAACATACTATTTTAATATATTTTTAAAAATGTCTTAATTAATTTTAATAATTATTATCATATTACTTTTGTGCCTAAAATGTAGGTAGTTTTAATTTTTATCAAAACCAAATTAATAATATTTATTTATTTATTTTTCCTATTCAAAGTCATTTGAAATTTATTACATTTATAAATTCGATTTATGTATTGCAACATGTATAATGTTAAAATGTGCCTAATATGGCTTAAAAATTTAATTCAGAATTCCTCTTAAGTTGTTTGTAAATTAATTGTTATTGAAAATGACGTATTTAAGCATGGTAGCTTATGTTAAATTGTTGTGATCTGTGTGCTTTAAAATAGTTTATATATTATATAAAAATGATATAATTCACCAAAATTTTGGAACTAAATTGCTAATACCAATTATTTTATAAATTTGGTAATTACATGTAAAATATTACATACTTAACCTGGTGCTTAGATGACAGAAAATATATCATCTGATCTAGATTTTATCTTTTTATAATCCATAATGGTATTCTGTTGTAAATCATGTAACATTTGAATAACTTCAATAATTTATCTGATGATTACTTCATCTTTGCAGTTGAATAAATTTGGATTAGGCCAGTTTGTAATTTTAATATCTCTTAGTTTGTTGCTTAGTGTACATTGGCTTTCGGATTCCCTTAAATTTGTGAAATAGGTATTAACATTCCTATGGATATCAATTAATGRGGAGTAGGTACGTATATCCGTTATAGTGTTATTTTTTGCTTTAATTTATTATTATAAATCAACTATTGAATATTTTTAAATTTTAATTGTGTCGATCTTTGACTTTTTAAAGCTTCTGTAACGTCACAGCATTTTTCGCGGTTTTAATTATATTATTATATTACATAACACACATTACGCGCGAACAATAACTAGCTGGACTACAGTGTTATGTCACCAGTACACCGCACATCCCCCCCCTGCGAGGCTCCGTCCACAACACCAACGGCGGGGATCGCGCTGGCACTGTCGGTCGGGGCGGCTGCGCTACCGGCAACGGAGACAGTGCAACCTGTTGGTACCCAATTATTGTAATATTTCACCAAAAGTCCCCCTTCCACCCGCACTGGTCAGCAAGCCGTCCAACAGCCACTAGCCGTCGGCCGATACGTTATTAAAGAATTTGGTCTTTTTCCAACCGTTGAAGACCAACCACCACGTCGACCGTCTACATATTATTATTATTCACCACTTGGCATCGTCGACCATCTACATATTATTATTCGACCCRGTACGGCAGTCAACATGATGGGCTGAAACACCGCCATGGGGCCTGAGGGCCGGGATGCCGGATGGCTTGCTGCTTTGCGACACAACCATGCTGTCACGTATTATTATTATTATTATTTATATTCTCC